TTTCAAAATTAGAAAAATAATAAAGACAAAACAAAAATTAAAAGACTAGAAAAAATTATTGGGTAAGAGAAAAATAATTTAACTTAACAGCAGTGGAAGAAACCACAAAAGAATGGGTAATTCTGAATATATTCAAAAAATGAAAACAGTGAAAATGACATAAACAAGAAAAGCCCAAACCAATTTTAAAAGCCATACTAATGAAAAAAAATTTTTTAACTACAAATGGATACAAACATATGAAAACAAGTTTACTCTCACTAGTAATCAAATGCAAACTAAAAGAAAGAACCATCAGTTAAGAAATGATGACACTAAATATGGGTAAGGGTATGGTGAGACTAACACTTTCACACTAGCTGGTGGGAATGAATCTTGGTGCAACTTCTATAGAGGAAAGTTTAGCACGCATGTGAAGCGTCTCAAAGATATTCACTCTTAAAAACCAATAATTCTATTTCCAGATACGAATCTTAAGGAAATAATCTGAACTATTGCACAAAAAAATGTATTAACAAAAAACTGGAAAGAAGCTAAATGTACAAAAAGGGACTATTTAAGATCAAAGAAAATTATCTTTTATTTATAGAATTGAATATTAAATGGTAATGTAAAACGTTGCTTACTTCATAAATATGAAATAAGATCATGCCAATAAAAAATGTAACACAAAATTATATACAGAATTGTCTTTTAACTATGTTTTTTAAACTATATAGAAAAAAAGACCAGGAAAAATGCACCCACTGTTAGCAGAGCTATCTCTGGATGGTGAGAATATGGGGGATTCTTCCGACTTTTTGCCTATCATCCAAATTCATTTAAATGAATTCATATAATTGTAAAGTCAGAAAACAAACCTAAAATAACAAAACCCACAAACCTCCCAACAGCTGTCTCACCTCGCTAAACTACAAATGCATCATTTTGGTGTCGAAGGCTCTCTACGCTATTTTCCCACTGTTTTTAGTCAAGTGTGCTTACTCTCCGTAAGGCTCATCAAAGGCGACTTCCTATGGTTTCCTGAACATGCCCCATACCTTCTCACTTCAGTGCCTTAGCTCAGATTATTTGATCCATCTGGATCACATTCTCTACCTGGATGAGTTCCACCATATTCCAAAGCTCATGAGAAACACCACCTTTTCTATGAAGTTTTTTCTAACTCTGTGCTAACCCAGTCACCCCAACCAGATGTGATTTTTCCTTGTCTTTGACCCCTACGGAAGTGATTTAACACTCTTACTACTCTTGATGCAACTTCCCTCAACTTTAATAGTTAACTCTGTTTTAAGGTCTCTCTAGATTCTAGTAGTTCAGGAAGGGGCTCTATCCTTCTTCAGCTCTTTCTCTAAAAGTGACACACTGCTTCCCAGAATTAACCACATAATGAGTATTTGAGGAACTGAATAAATTACTGTCACAAGGGATTAATCTCTTGCCTTGGCCACAAGGAGGAGGAAGAGAGAATGGGAAATGTTTCTCATTTGAGACTCAGCACGGAATTTCTCACAGAAACAATGAGGGGAAGAAAAAGACCGTTAGTAATGCATAAACCAATTATGGACTTGTATTTTATTCTTTTTGCCAGCTACGAATCTATCTATAATTGGTATCTTAATTTCTCTGGAAACAAAAATATGCGTGGAATTCCCAAGAACCTACCTCCAAAACAGTTTTTGGAGTACAGCCAGTGATTAAAGTGATAAACTTGCAGATAAAAAATAGTATTTTGCTTTTAAAAAAAATCATGTTTGCTTAAGTCTGCCTTAAGCCTCTTCTGAAACAAAATATTGTTAACGACAATAGAAAGAGTAAAATGACAGAAGTGGACGTTCAAAACACCTGAGTTAGTTTCTAAAAAGTAAACTCGAAAGGGAGTACACAAGCAAATCAAAAAGCCCTTTTTACCACTTTCCTACTTTACCTTTACCTGATGCTATATTTCAGGAAACAACTGAAACTTTAAGGGGAGAAAGTCTTTAAAGGTTTTTATTTTCCTTTCGCATGCAAGGCTTTAAATTAATTAATATTTACAACGGCTGTGCAGATAACCCACCCATGTGGGCTCACACATAGCCAAGTGTATATATTTAAGGACAAAAACCTCCCTGTAATTATTGACATACAGTGCTTTACTTTGAAATAACGCTTGTCTTGATGAAACACAGTTTGAGGGCTGTTCTTTGCCAGATTTTGGTGGGGGAGAGGAGCCTGTTAGGGCAGCTCTTACTACAGACTTGGACCAATATCCCTAGGTATACACTTAAGCATTGCTATATTCATTCCACGAGTATGTACTGAGAACTGTGCTAGGTGTACAGAGGCAAGTCAGACCCTGCCCTCAGTGTCTACAAGTTGCCCCAGACCCAGAAATATTCTACTGAAGGAAATGAACAATAAGCAAGTATGCAAACGAACGAGATAATTACAGGTTACGGTAAGAGCTGTAAAGGAGACAAGACAGGGAGGCTATTTAACAATCAACCAAGGCTTCTCAGATACATTTAAACCAAGATGGAAAAGAGAAGAAGGACCTAGCCATGCACACTACCTGGGCAAGAGCATTCCAGGCAGAGAGAAGTGGAAAGGTCACAAGATGGAAACAGTCTGAAGAAGATAAAAGAGGCAGTGTAGCTGGTTATGTTTTTCAAACTGTGGGTCATATTTGTAGGCTGTGATGCCAACTTTGTGGGTCATTGCATCAGGGAGTCATAGGTTTTCAGAATAAGTATTCTTTAATGAACTGTGTGTGTGTGTGTGTGAGTGTGTACTAGATTGCAACGTATGACACATTTCTTACTGTGGGCAGTGGTGAAATCTGTACTAAGCAAGGAAAGTAATAAGAGATGAGGATGGAGGGATGGGCAAGAGCTAGAGTATGCACAGCCTTGCATTGTAGGCTACCGTAAAGAATTGGGATTTTTATTCTAAACACAGTGGGAAGGTAGTGAAGGATTTCAAGCTAGGGAGTGACATGATCTAATTCGAGAAGGTGGTTTTGCCAAAAGATTACTAACTACAGTGAAATTCAGAAGAGCTGAGCACCAGCCCTGGCCTAGCCACTAACACCAGAGATTTTCAGCAAACCACTCAATCTCTCTAGACCTTACTTTCTTCATTTTAAAAATGAGAAAGCTGGACCAAGATGACCTTTAATATCTTGTCTATTGCTAAATTTCTATGACTATATTCTGCTTCCTCCCTTGGGCATAAGTAAATGACTATTGGGGAGACATTAGCTCATTAGGTCAAGTTCTGGGTTACTTCTTAAAATATAAACCAGCTAGCTCCAAGAGCTACATTTCTATAGAAGGTAATTTTAGAATTATCTCTTTACTGAAACCAGCTATATTACTAGAAATGAGATCTCTGGGCTAAAAATGAATTAAGTGCTTTTGCAACTCTCTGGTGCAAAGTTAGGATGTGAAGAAAACTGACAGGGAGGGATGAAAAGATTTACTGACCAGGTTATTTGGAACAGACTTCCTTATTTGTTCTAGGTCATCAACTGACATATAATCTAGGGCAGTCTAGAGTTGCAGGGAACCTCTGGTTAGCACTAAAGTCAAGATGTGGAAGCTTAACTCCTTTCACAGTAAGCAAAATGACTATTAAGGCAAAATCTTCATTGAGAACCTAGTATATGCTAACCCCACGCTAGACAGTTTGATATATGCTTTTTCATTTAATCCTCCTCATAATGGCATTTCACACATATGGAAAGAGGGGCCTCAGAAAAGACAAGTAAGGTATTAAGTGGCAAGGTCAGGATAAGAATATTTATTCCATATTTATGGTAAATTAAACTGCATGTTTAAAAGATTACTGTACAAGCATTAAATCATCAGTTAATTGCTGGACAACTCAAGTATCTGTGACATCTGGACTTAGACTATTCAACCAATAAATCGATTCTGGACTCACAGGTACTTTGCTAGGTACGGTGTGTGCTGAAAAGACAAAAACTTGTTCCAGCGCCGCAGGCCTTACTCCGTGGGTAGCATGCTGGGTAGCATGAAGAGTAATTAGGTAAAATATCCAAGGAATTTGGATCCCCAATTAAGTACACGAGAATAGTATTACAGGAGTTTCTAGGTTCATTTTCTCCATTGTTGCTGGTGAGAGGTCAGTAGAGAAACCGTGGACCGGACAGTGTCACCTGTGCCGTGGGCCTAAGGAGTGCTCAGAAGTTCCATAAACGCGAGATGCTAGAAACTCGCCGATTTCCAACTTACATTACCCCTTTAAAGGAAGCAGTGGCCGCAACGCCCGCCCAATTGGAGCAGAGGGCAGGACATGTTACCGAGAGGAAAATCTCGGAAATGTGCAGGGCACCGTCCCTGTAAGGGTCGAAATGGTCCCTAACGCCTCCCACAGACACACCCACAAACATCCCAGCAAAGTTGGGGATGCTCACCGCACACCCGCCTCAACACGGAGAACGCGGTACCCACCTGTCACATACTCAGCTTCGAACCTCCGTCGGGTCTCAGAGATGAGCCTGGCTTTATTCTGGGCATGATGCTGGAAAGGAGACACCAAGGGACACTTAGATACCAAGCGCACCAGCCCGCTTCCTCTCAGCACAGCCCACCTGCACCTGGGCGCGCGGCTCCCAGGCCTGAGGCGGCTTCCAGGTTCGGGGCGGGGGGGTAGTGCCGGCAGCGGTGCTGTCGGCTCCTTACCTCGGCCATGGTCACCGTTGTCACTTCCAGAGCTGCCGTCCGAATACCTCACTCACGACCGGCTGGGCCGGCCCCAAGGTAGAGAGGGAAGAGCAGGAGGTGGAGGCGGTCGCGTGACACAGGAAAGCGGGCGGAAGCGTAGACACGCCGTCCAATCCGATGCGGCCGCCTGGGCCTGGAGGCGGGACCAGGCCCTCAGCCTGGCTTTCCATTCGCTTCTCGTTTGGGCCCCGCCCCCTGACGTCCCTTGCGCTGCAGACCGGCCACCGCCCCCGCCACCGCCCCCGCCACCGCCCCCGTCCCCGCCCGCCGTGGGATAGCCTGCGTCTGAGAGAGCTCAGCCTGCGGTTCGCTTTCACAACGTTCCCTGTGGCCCCGCCTTCTCAACCTCCCTTGGCAACCGTCTCCTGGCAGGCTCGGTGGGCTCCGCCTCCTCTGCGCTCGTTGCAGCCTCCGGCCCCGCCCTCCCAGGATGCAGCGCGCGGGCGGGAGGTTTGGAGACCCGAGACGCTGCGGCTGCGTGGGGCCTCGGGAGTCTAGCGGGTGCTGGACGGAGGGCCTCCGCGTGCCGAGGTAGGGCCTTCGCGGAGGGGGCGGCGGGACTGGGTTTGCTCCCCTTGTCCCCTCCTTGTGGGACAGCGAGGAGGAAGCAGGCGTCCCTGGGGCCTGTGTCCATCATTCTATGGAATGCTAACTAGATTTTCTAGATTTCCCTAGAAACTTTCCTCACTCCTGCAGCCTCTTTCCCACTTGGAGTGTGAGATGCTTAACAAGGCATATGTCTTTGAAATCTTTAAAAGTTATATAAAATTAAGAGGTGTAAAGCATCTTGCAGTTTAATTCAAGTAGTTCTCCAGTGGGAGGGGGAAGTTTTGCCTCCCAGGGGACATTTGGCAATGACGGGAGACATTTTTGGTTGTCACAACTTGGAGGGGGCCTGCTACTGGCATGGGGTGGGTAGAAGCCAAGGATACTGCTAAATATCCTATAAAGCACAGGACAGCGCCCAGAACAGTTCTCCAGTGCAAGAGGTCAATAAGTGCCGAAGTTGAGAAAGATTTAGATTTATAACGTACTGGAAAAAGTTTTATGGTTGTCGGTTTAAAAATTGAAAGGAAATGGTTTTGCATTCAATAATACTGGCTTTTTTAAAAATTGAAAGATACTGAAAACTACAAGGAAATTGTAAGGACAGTTCCCGTATTTCCACCATCCATACTCAACCACGATTGACACTTGAACATCTTTTGCTCCAGACATTTCTTTATGTTTACACTTTTATGGGGAAAAAATGGACACATTGTTTAAAAATTATTTGGATACATCCTTAAAAAACATTTCAGATGTAGCTAGTCTCCCTCTGGCTCCACTCCCCTACCCTGATATCTGTCCCCTTCTCTAGAGTAAACAGTTATTTGAGATTTGGCATGAATCTTTACAGCTTTGCTTTTTTTATTTGGACCAGGCTGCCTGGGTTTGAATCCTTACTCTGTTCCTTCCTATCTGTAGGCCTTTGAGAAGATCCTTACACTCCATGCCTCAGTTTCCTCATCTGTAGAATGGGATAATAGTGCCTATGGCATAAGGATGTCATGAGGAATAAATGAGTTAGTCCAAAGTGTGTAGAAAAGTACCTGGCACAGAGAAAGCACTCAAATGTAGCCATTGTAGGTAGACACAAAATGTATAATGCTATTTTATGTGTTTTGATTTAGATACATAATGTACTCCAGTAAACATTTTTCTGCAACTTAATTTTTTTCGTTTTTGAGATCTAGCCATGATGATATACATAGATCTATCCTTTTAACTATAGTATGATAGTCCATCAGTATTTATTCATTCCCCTCTTGGTGGTCATTGAAGTTTTTACCAGTTTTGCTTTTATATTACAAATAACAGCACAGTGAACATTCTACAGCAGTGTCTTTGTGTGTTATGTAAGATTATTTCTCTGGGTTTATATCTACAAGTGAAATTGCTGGATATATGCATTTCTGTTTACTGCCAATTGCCTTCCATCTCACCTCTCCCTTTAATTGCTCATAATTATCTCTTAATTGATGGCTCTGCCTCCAATCTCACCTCACCCCCATCTTCAACACTGTCACCAGGATCTTTATAATTCAGAAGAAATCCTGTGATTTCTATTTTTGAAGTTAGAAGTCCTTAGTATAACATAGAAAACCTTCTTTAACTTAATCTTTCCTGATCCTCTTAGTGGGTCTCCGTTTCCCCACGTTCACCTCCATTTCAGGTACACCGTATTATTGGGAAAGGGAAAGGGGAGATTGATTGTGGGTAGCCTCCAACAAATGACTTCTAGCTATATAGGTAGAAAAAAGTTTTACAAAAGCAGACCAATTCTGTAGCCAAGTTAATTTACTTGGGCAAACAATGTCCTGTATGTTGAAAGAAGGACATCTATCAGTATTATGGTCATAAGATTATGTTTCATATTATTAGGTGAAATTTTTAGTTGGGTGTCTTAGTTCTGCCGTTTTTCCAAGATGCTTTCTATTGGGCGCAATTGATATGGTTTCTTAGAGACTTTTTTAGATTTCATCTGCAGATAATATAGTGCTCTTTTAGGATCTTCCTGAACCAGATTGGTAGTTTTAAATAAATTTCTGAAATTCTGAAATTAAATAAAGTTCTGAAATTTATAGTGCACAGTGAATTTATTAGCATTTAAAGGGAACATTGTTTATTTGGTCAGAGGCTGGCAGAGAAGAGTGGATGAGGGTGATAATTTATTGCCAACCTGCTATATTTATGTTAGCATATATTACTGTTTTTCTAGTATACTTACATATTTGTTTTCATTTTATGTATAAAATATATACAGTCAACTTTGGTGTATGGTATTACAGATCAGGAAAAGCTCAAATTAATTATGTAGTATTTTATAAATAATCTGCTTCCTAATTCCCCCACCCCTCCACCCGCATAGCTGCAATAGGAGGTGATACTTAACTGGTTTGAGTTACTTATTGTTTTCTGCAGCCACTGATGTAAGGGTACGAAGTAAAAAGTCAAATGACGAATAGGTTGGAATAGTAAGCCTGGTGCCCTGATAATCAGAGTTTGATTAATTAGGGCTTGTTTATATTGGTTTAAGAACCCCTAAATTGAACCTTAGTTTCACTTGTTTCAGATTATTTCTATCTAAAAAAAGAAAATTACCACTTATTCCATAGGCTTAAAGGTTTGCTTTATGAATATATGCTAAGAACTTTTACTGTTAAAAGATATGTTGCATCAGTATAAAATAAAACACATATACACAGATGTGTGAATTCAGTAAGCTTTGAGATTATAGGAAGTTTGAGGAAAAAATTTATCTTCATAAATAAATATATTAATAGCTTCTAATTTTTTTTGACTCCTTTTTTTTTCTTTTGAGGAAGATCAGCCCTGAGCTAACTGCTGCCAATCCTCCTCTTTTCGCTGAGGAAGACTGGCCCTGAGCTAACATCCATGTCCATCTTCCTCTACTTTATAGGTGGGATGCCTACCTCAGCATGGCTTAGCCAAGCAGTGCCATGTCCGCACCCAAGATCAGAACTGGCGAACCCCGGGCCGCCGAAGCGGAATGTGCGCACTTAACCACTGTACCACCGGGCTGGCCCCTCTAGCTTCTAATTTTTAACTCCAAAGGTGATCCATTTAAAATAAAATAACTTAATATTGAAAATGTGCGTGTTTTTGCTGTAGGATTTAAAAATAAAAAATAATGACCTTTGAAAGAACATTTATGTTTTTAAATCTATTTGAGCCTGAGTCCCTGAGAATAAATTTACTTTTTGCCTAGAGCTCATGCTAAAAGCATATTGGATTAGGATTATAACAGGGTTTTGAATGCTCTGCTAAGCTTTATAGCAATGCTTTGCAACCTTTTGTCTCTACATCATTCATATGTTCAGTACATGGTGTTTGACATCTCTCTTTCCAGGTAGTAATTCAGGGATCACAGATATATTGAGAAGATGTGTGTGTTAGAGGAGGGCATGCATGCAACGTTCTTGAATTAGGAGACAGTTACTTGATCAAGTTTGTGTTTTAGAATAATAACTGAGGTAGCATAAATAAATTGATATATTAGAGGGGAGAGAGACTAAAGCAAGGAAGACCAATTAAGGAGCTTTTATCTCAGCCTAAGTGAGAGATGAAAGCCTGAACTATGATAGTGGCAGTTGGAACAGAGTTGGAAGGTAGAGGTTTCTAAGTTAAGGAACTTGGTGGTAGCATTAAAAGACCAGAATGTAAGGGGCCTGATGTTCCTAAGTCATAACTCTGTCAAGGTGCAACAATACATACTCTAAAGTTTAGTCAAGGGGGAGATTCTACTGACCTTTTAGCAATCAGATTCTCCTTGCTCCTGTCATACTTGCATATTGGTGAACCAGAGCTTTGTGTTGATTAAACAGTTGTGATATTTAATATTAAAATCCTTTTCCATACAGAAATTATTTTTGGTTGTTTTTAGTATTATTAAGAAATCTGAAAAACATTTTAAGTAAGCCTGTAGTAAAAGACAATGAGTTCTTAGATCTTTGCCTCAGAATATATCATTTTAATGCTTTTCCTTTTTTACAAGTCTTCTAAGAGACCTGACATGTCTGTGAGAAACTTGAAATAAATTATTGTTCATACATTTTGATGTAATACAGCTAATATGTTTCCTTTAAAGTAAAAGATAGTTTCATAAGTAAAAGCCACACCTTTGATTTGCCTATCTTCTTTACTAATGAAGCCGAAACTACTCTGTAATACCTGTTGTCTCAGATCTTTGCATGACATTGATTTCCTAACAACAAACCAGTAAGCCAGTAACTTCTGCTAGTTTGTATTATGATACAGTATCTCCAGTTGCTTCAGGTAATAGGCTTCATGAAATTCTAAAAACAGTATCATCAATTTAATTTTTTTTTTATTTTAAAGATTTTTTAAAAATTTTTTCCTTTTTCTCCCCAAAGCCCCCCGGTACATAGTTGTGTATTCTTCGTTGTGGGTTCTTCTAGTTGTGGCATGTGGGACGCTGCCTCAGCGTGGTTTGATGAGCAGTGCCATGTCCGCGCCCAGGATTCAAAGTAACGAAACACTGGGCTGCCTGCAGCGGAGCGCGCGAACTTAACCACTCGGCCACGGGGCCAGCCCCCTCATCAATTTAATTTTTAAAAAATTGCCACAGAAGAGTGTATTTATCTGTTGCTGTATAATAAATTACTCCCAAACTTAGCAGCTTAAAACAACAAATATTTATTTTCTCAAAATTTCTGAGGATCAGGAATTTGGGAGCAGCTTAGCTGGGTGGTTCTGGCTCAGGATCTCTCCAAGGGGCTGAGTCATGCAAAGGCTTAACTGGAGCTGGAGGATCTGATCCCAAGAAGGCTCACTCACATGGCTGTGGGTAAAAATCCTCAGTCCCTTGCTGGCGCTTGGTAGGAACCCATAGTTCCTGGTCGTGTGTACATCTTCATGGGGCTGCCTCAGTGTCTTACTGATATGGCAGGTGGCTTTCTCCAGTGCAAGTGATCCAAAGAAGAGGTCAATGAGGAAGCCACAGTGCTCTATGACCCAGTCTTGGAAGTCACACACTGTCACTTCTGCCATATTCTGTTGGTAGAAGCAAGTCATAATGACCAGCCTTCACTCAAGGAGAGGAGAATTAAGTGCCGCTTCTTGATGAAAGGAATTTCAAAGAATTTGTGAACATATTTTAAAACCACAACAAGTGATACATTTGGAAATTAGACAATAAGGTGTGCCATCTCCAATTTGAAAGTAGATGCCAATTGATCTAGTTTGCTTTTAAGTAGAATTGCCTCTAAATCAAAATCATTTCTATAAAATGCAGGCTACATTAAGTTAAATTTGTAGATTATGGTTCAGTGATTCTTTTTTCTGATTGGACTATTGGTAGACTTTATAGTAAAAGAACAAAACTTAAGCCTTTGGAGTTTACTTCTCATTCAACGGAGGAAAAACAATATTACTTACTTGTAAATGACCTAGTTTTCATTTATTACTGAAATAGTTGAATTTCCTAGTGTAAATGATCCACAAGTAGGAGAAAAGAGAAGGTATGAGTTAGAGTTATTTATAGTGGAGAGTGACCTTTCAGCATTCACGGACCATTAAGTATACAACTATTCTTCTAACCTTTCTAAGGGTAGGTACTATGTAAACCAGAGCTGACCATGATGATGATGATAATGATGATGGTAGCTCACCTTTATTGAGCAATTTCTATGTACCAGGTTTTATTTCAAGTGGGTTTTAATTAATTCCAATACCTTGTAAGGTAGATACTGTATTCTCCCCGCCCCCTTGTATACATGTAGATGTGAGGCATAAAGGGGTTAAGTAACTTGCCCGAGTCATACATCTAGTAAAAGGCAGGCCCAGCGTTCACATGGATCTCTAACCATAGCAGCTCTGCCTAGCATGTGCTAAGCATTCAATAACTGTTAAAGGAGTGACTCAGCATATATGGCCACTGAATAAAGAGAGATCAAAATCTTTTTCTTATATGTTTGTTCAATGTAGGGTTTGTTCCTTCGTTCTTTGTTTTACTTTACTAATTTTCTAAAGTTGCCTTTCTTATAACCAGTGTTCAGAGTAAGGGAAAGCATACCAGGACAGTGTGGTGGTTAAAAGTGTAGGCTCAGGAATCAGAGGGCCCCTCTTCCCAATTTACTGCCATTGCCTGTTAGTGTTGTAACCTTGCAGAATTTTCTGACCTTCGTTAAAATAAGGTTTCTTGTTTAAAAGATGGGATAACAAGAAGGTGTTACCGAACCAGGTTCACTTTTGACTGCCACTCGGAAAGCCAAACACTGAGCCGATGAGATTGCAGCAGAGAGAGAGTTTACTCACAAGGCAGCTATGTGAGGAAGTGAGAGCGTGTGTCTCAAATCTGCTTCCCCGAAAATAGGGACTCAGGGATATTTATGGGATGGGGGCAAGGTGGTCTGAAATGTGGAGAGAGGTGATGGGAGGTGAGGAGAGGTGAGGTAATTGATGATCTGCGCAGGCGTAGTCAGACTCCACGCCTCTGCATAGGACCCATGTTCACAAAATGGCCACCTTAGCATGATCTGAGGGTGGAGGTTTTGGCCTCTTGACGTCAAAAGGTCACCTATCAGACATCTCCATGGGCCCAGTTGATGAGTTGGTGGTCTCAACAGGCCCGAAGTAGACAAGGAGTTCTAATTCCTGAAAAACAGCTCACACAGCCATTACCATGGTGACCCAGGCTCCAGGGAGATGTTATCTATAGGAGCCTAGTGGGAGTCAGATAGCATATTGCCTAAATAGCACAGTTAACAATGGGTGGATTAAACAGCTAAAAGCTATAATCAGTAATTGCAAAAAGGAAAAAAAAACGTTAGTTCCTAGCTACTTAATCATCAATGGCTAACTCTGCCGGTTTCAAAGACTTACTTTAAAAGAACAGTTGTAAGCATTAAATGAAATAACGCATGTATTGCACTTGGCATATAATAAGCATGAATAATTGACAGCTATTTAATTCTTGCGTTCATTATAGTATTACTAATCCTCTATTTTTTTCAACTTTGAGAATAGTGACTTTTTTAGGTCGTAAAACTGCATTGTTTTTGCAAAGTAAGATTTAAGATTTATTTCTATTACTCATATGGAGATTTTTAAGCCATGTTATAGCATCTCCTATTTTTCTTTCTGGGCCTTTCATTTTAGCTATAGAGTCTGTACGAACTCCTGTCTCAGGGAAGCAGGAGCCCAAGTGCCTGGGCTGTGGGAGCAGTCTAATTTGAATCATTGACTGACTGAATCATGTCATGGTAAAGGGGCTGAGGTTGAGATGGAGAAACCTGGTTTGAGGCAACAGGTTAGAAAATTGGGAAACCAAGATTAGTTTGGTAGATTTGAAGTGGAACCCTTAAGAAATTCCCTGAGCCAAAAGGAATGTCTGCAGTCACTTTGAATAGAGCACTGCAGCTTTTAATAGATGCTGCTAACACATTTAGTTATCTGTTTGATATGGTTCTTTGCATTCTTTGCAAACTGTTTTTTAAGGGCTGTACAGAAATAACATTTGGGATATGTTTTTTGATAAGCGTAACGTTGTTAAGATAGCATAAAAAGCTGGAAAATGTGAACTTAATAGCATTTATGATTACCTATGTGATAGTTCTCTAATAGAAATGTATGTTTTCTTTTCAACGCTGCCTACTTGATGGCAGTTTTTCTCATTTCATTTTTAGGTTTAAAAGCGTCAACCAGAATCAATTTGCAGTCGAAAATTGGACCAACACAAAGACTTCATATTGTGGAATGACTAGCAAACAAGCAATGTCATCTAATGAACAAGAAAGGCTCTTGTGTTATAATGGGGAAGTCCTTGTTTTTCGATTGTCTAAAGGAAATTTTGCTGATGAAGGACCTGCAGAAATACCCGTATTACATGTCAGAAGAATGGTATTTGACAGAGGGACAAGAGCATTTGTTCAGAAGTCCACTGGATTCTTTAGCATAAAGGAAGAAAACTCGCATTTAAAAATTATGTGTTGCAGCTGTGTGTCAGATTTCAGAAATGGAATTAACCTCCCTTATATTGTGATGCAATGCAATAAAAAGAATAACGTTTTCAAATATCTTCTACTGTTTCTTCACAGTACCAATAAATTTGAAAAGCGTTTGAGTTTTAAACTAGGCCATGAATTGCTGGATGGCGTAAGGGTCCTTAATGGCCCTTTAGTTTTATGGAGATATGACAAAACATTCTTCTGTATCTCTCCCGAAACTCACAAAGTTATTACTCTGTCTGTTAACTTTTCCTCTATTGAGTGGGCAGGGGAGATTGCAAATCTAGGTATGGTTTTATTAGGACCAAGGAGATGTTCAAACCGAAAGCCTTCAAAATCGGATTATGCATTTCAGAATACCAAATTTTGTGTATACTCTCTTGAAAATGAAGAAGTAATAAGTGATACATATATCATCCCTCCTGCTTATAGCAGTGTGGTAACGTGTGTGCATGTGTATGCAGCTGAGATGGTCAACAACCAGTTAAGAATGTCTCTGATTGTCCTTACTCAGAAGAATCAGCTGATTTCATTCCAAAATGGAACTCCTAAAAGTGTGTGCCAACTTCCATTTGGAGATCCTTGTGCAGTTCAACTGATGGATTCCACTGGAGGAGACCTCCTTTTTGTTGTATCCTTTAGGTCCAATGATGCTTGTGCTGTTTGGGAAAAGAACTTTCAGGTACGGTACTTATTCTCATATCATTCAATTGGTGTGGTCTTAGACCTATGAAGCATTCTTACACTTCATAGAGTTTATGCTGAAGTCGTATTATCCAAATCAATTGTGAGTGCCGCACTTAAAATCATATATATTACATCATTCTTTTTTCTTAACGTTGTCTAAATACTACCTGATAAAGATTTTGCCTTGCCATTTTGAGTCATAAAACCTTTGAGTTGTTTGGAAAAAAACTGCAGTTATAAATTTATTTTTCTTTTAGTATAACAATTTCTAATTTTTATTAATGTAATAATTAGGTGTGTAGTTTACTTAGAATAAGATTATTAGTAATTTGACTTCATAAGCCTTCCTAGAAAACACCAATCAGTTTAACTTTTTAACAATTGGTAATTGTCTATTTAAACTTAAAATGAAATTAGAGGAATTCCTTGAAATGTATCATATTTGTCCCTTTAGAGGCAAATAATTGCTCTCCAGAGACAAGTGATGTGTTAATTTTCTGAAAACTGTTGCTTAGAGAATTTCATTATGTTATATTTTGAAACTCAGACTTGTCCTTTGATCTAGTCATATCTTTTAATGTAAGGTTTGGAAATTGCTTTAAAATATTCACTGATATTAAGTGTTCAAAAACAGGTAAAAAGGCGCAGAAAATGAATAGCAAATTAGAGGTTTGTAACTGGGTGTCCCACCAATAGTATTTATCTAACTGAGTTTTTGGTAACATTGCATCCTCCTGCCTTAAGATATATCAGCTTATTCAATTATGTGATGTGAAGTGTTTATAATTAAAGATAAATAATTATTACTAGTTAGAAATGTCTCTTCCAAAAGTAGTTTTTTAGTACATTGTGTAACTTTTTAAGTTCTTGTGTTACTTTGGAAAAAAGCAGATACTGCTTTACTTTGTGTGCCCTATTTGTTTAATTAGAAGCTCAACTAAAATTTCTTTTTTTTTTTTTGAGGAAGATTAGCCCTGAGCTAACTGCTGCTAATCCTCCTCTTTTTTCTGAGGAAGACTGGCCCTAAGCTAACATCCATGCCCATCTTCCTCTACTTTATATGTGGGACGCCTACCACAGCATGGCGTGCTATGCAGTGCCGTGTCCACACCCAGATTCGAACCAGCGAACCCCGGGCCGCTGAAGCGGAACATGCGCACTTAACTGCTGCGCCACCGGGCCAGCCCCGTCAACTAAAATTTCCATCACTATATTACCACCTTGATATGGAATATTGATAAATGTTTTGAAAAGTTCAAAAGACATCTTTTCTGTGAATCGTTACCTTGTGTGTGTGTTAGTGTGTGTGGAAATGTCAGTTTGAAATTGTGTTTTATCATGCTTTGCCTTGTAAGTTACCTTTATGTTACCAGGGATTATGTAATCATATTCAACCTCTGTAACACATAGAGGACTTAAATTCTCAAAAGGAAAATGATTTGAAAGCTGTCCTATTTTATTGAAAGCAGTCTTTTAAAAGTACATTGTAGTTTTGTTTGAAGGTCATTTGGAAGGTAACATTTTGTCTTTTTCTACTCTCTTTTACTTTCATGAAATGCTAGGGGGAAACATCTGGTATAGCCTGTAACCCTTATTGGGGTCAGCGTAATGGAAATAACACACTTAACCTGGGTTTGAACCCCCTGAGCCCCTTACTGGTGTTACCTTAAGGAATATATTTAATTTTTGTGAACCCGCTTTCTGTCTTTATGAAATTGTGGAATCATCCTGCCTCTGAGAGGGGAGAATTAATAAAATGATATTGTAAAGTGTCTTGCACATAGGAAAAGCTCAGTAAGTGGTAACTGCTATTATGTTAGACAAAGGCTAGGGCTGTCATCAGTGACTTGTACCTACCCAAGGTCCCTTACTCACCTGGATAAGGAAAGACAACTCCCTTATGCTTCATTAATTCAGTAAAATATGGTCATTATTCACTTGAAGTGGGTCTCTTGCTTGGACACTGTAGAGCTCTGCCACTAAGATGTTACCCAAAGCAGCAGACTAGATCACTCCCTGTAAGTGGGCCTGTAGCTGTTGGCCTCCCTGCCTTGAAATTGCGTTCTAGGATTATTTCTCTATGGTGAACCACCGTCTCTTCCACAAGTTACTTTCCTGAGTCCCTGCTGACCTACTCCTTAAGCTACCTCTTCAGGGATGCTGTACTTCTAAACTGTCCTCAAATGCCCTATACTGAAAGCTCTGGAGTTAGACCCTGATATCTACAAGTTAAGTGCTTCTAAATTGCCTCAGTCGCCTTGCCACTCTTGGAGTTTTACAGCTCCTGCCTCTTTCTTGATGTTATATTTATACTCCCTTACTTAAAGAAAAATTGGATATAGCTTAGGGTAAAATATTCAATTACTTTAAAAAAAGAGAATAAAGGTTGAGAATCTGAAAATAAATGGGGAGGGGAGGTAAGCATGCAGAAAACCTGGGTTAAGGGAAGTAATTGCATTTGAGCAATTATACTTAGTTTAGCAGTTAAGACAAAAACGGTAAATACAGCAAGTTTTGCAATTGAATGAAACACACTATCAAGGGAAAAAAATTCCTAATATTGAGTTCCAAGAGGAATTTACTGTTTGTAGTATTATGTAAGAGATTTTGAATAATAAAATGAATACATTATTGAATAATAAAATGGTGCCTTTAATAGCAGTTTTGCCCCAAAATGGGAGAAAACAACAGAAGCAGTCTTCTTTTGTGTTGGCTATGGATTCATCCATCCATCCATCCTTTCACTACCTCATTCCATAAAGGAATTAAGGCAGCTTGCAAAGATAGGTAAAATACAAACAAGCATAAATTAGAATAAGAAATGAAAATCAAGGTTAGTATGTTCTCAGATCAGCCCTTCATAAAAGTCCCAGGTATAATGTTTAATCCAGTGATAGGACTTGAAACAGCTGAGTCTAGAGAAATAATGATTAGCTTTTCTCAGGCTTTCTTCAGTAGAAATTGTCTCTGCAAGTTTTGACAAGAATCTACGTGGCAGGCATTTGAGAATTGAGATCATTTTCAAGTATACCTGAAACATTGGTGTGTTGTAGATAGAAAGAGGTTAATATGTTCTAGAGGTGTGCTGTCTAATATGGTAGTCAGTAGCCACATGTGGTTATTCACCATTTGAAATGTGGCTATTCTGAATTAGAATGTGCTATAAATGTTAAGTACACACCGGATTTCAAGACTTAGTAAAAAATGAAAGTAAAGTATCATGTTAATTTTTGTTGATTATATTGAAGTAAAATAATATTTTGGATATATTGGATTAAATAAAATATAATAAAATTAATTTCACCTTTTTCTTTTCACTGCTAGAGAATTTTCTTTTATTGGCTACTGGAAAATCTAAAATTATATATGTGCCTTGCATTTGTGGCTCACCTATATTTCTTTTGTACAGCGCTGTTCTAGAGCTATAGATTGCAAATGTGTGGGTGCATGCATGAGTGCACAGCTCTATGGTGTTTACATGCTGAACACATTCTTATCACTAATATCTCTTCACATAGTTAATTATACTGCACGATGCTCATGGGGGTGGTGGGAGAAAAGGAGGATGTGGATTTACAAATAAGCTTCATTCCTAGATATATGAAAAATCACTGCTTTGGATATTAGCCTTATAGGGGAAAGATTGATATTTGGTTATATAGACTGAAGAGTCTTATATTCTTGCTCTAATGCAAGCCACCTTCAATCATCCAGATGATGTATCTGTGCTCCTCGGATTCTGAGTGGGAGTGTAAGCTTTTCTGCCTGAGGGAGAAGGAGTATCTGATTCCCATGGTGTTGGTTTTCCAGGGGGCCAATCTGGAGGCTTTCAGCTTTATGGACCTTTAAGAAGTTGTCTTCTATTTTAAACTTGAGGTTTCACATTGTGGTATAAACTGATCAAATCATTTCATTAGGCTGGCATGGTTCTAGGTGCCCGATTATTAGGATCCCTCCCCTTCTGTGACCCTGATAATGGCTATGTTCTCCCCTACCAGGGTTTAGGGTATTAAGCTCATCTTGACTCTTAAAGGTTATTCTGCTTTGAGAGCTCTTAAAGTATCTATTAGTATCTTCCAGTTGCCCTAATGCAACTGAATTCCTTGTGTAATTAGTCTTATCGTAAATACATATCCACTAAGGCTTTTGAGAGTGAGGGTCATCCTTAAGTTAATCATGTTAGAGAAAGAATCTTCACTAGAGTTACTCATGAGAAATGTTAGAATTTCCAAAACATTTAGTCGTGAGAAGTGTTAGAGTTTATAAATTATAATAAAATTTAATATAGAAATCAGGAATGTGACAGTCCCATGATAGATGTTGATAAAATATTAAAATTTAAGTACCTTGCTATTTATAAAGTTGTTATAACTCCTTATGTTTTCTAACCTCCCAGTATCTTTAGTTTAGTTTTTAGTGTTTACACTCCCATTTTCATTACTTGTTTGTAAGATTGAAGATAACAAATTACAACTACATGAAACAAAAGGATTTAGTTTATTTCACATCTGATTTTTTTTCCTTCTCTGTTTCTCCTCTATCATCCTCTTTCTCTCAGGTTGCTGCTAAATGGCAAAAAGTTAGCTTGGTACTCATAGATGACTTTATTGGAATTGGAACTGAACAAGTACTGCTACTTTTTAAGGACTCCTTGAATTCAGATAGTCTGAGTTCATTTAAAATAACAAATCTTCGCAGCATAAACTATTCAGTAAGTACTATTTACTTTTTATGCATTACTTTAAGAACCATTTTAGAAAATTTGAATGCTTTAAAGCTTTTGTGTGTGTGTGAGGAAGATTGGCCCTCAGCTAACATCTATGCCAATCTTCCTCTATTTTATGTGGGATGCCACCACAGCATGGCTTGACGAGCAGTGCTAGATCCACGCCCAGGATCTGAACCTGCAAACCCTGGGCCACTAAAGCAGAGTGCACGAACTTAACCACTATGCCACTGGGCCGGCCCCTAAAGCTTTTGATCCACTATTTAAATATTTGATTTCATGCTTAAAGTAAACTTTTTGAACTTTGAAAATACATAGATTAAACCTTTTAAATATATACATTGAATCTCCTTTCAACAAATGTTATACAAATCGACTATACTTTTGATATAAATTTGGAATATATTGTAGTCACTCTAGTGACAATAATACTGTAAATTAACCTTTTGCTTCTGAAAATCACATTTTATATCAATAAACATGATAATTTTGGATTGAGGAATAAAATGAAGTGAAACTGCTATATTAAAAGAACACTTCATAATATCTTAAGATCTTGGGCATAAGGGAAATAATACTAAAGTTTCAGATCTATATAAATAGGTCTGAGCCTTGGTTTTTTTTCATTAGTAAAATAAGGATAATTCTTATTTTCTTTATTTAATGAGATTTTATAAAAATCTAGTAAGCTGATACTTTTCGAAGCAGTATACAAATGTTAGGTGGGTGGTAATAGTGGTAATAATAGTAATTTTTTCTAGTTACAAGAAGATGGGGCAAATATATATTTTGTCTTTTACATAATAGTGTGTAACATGGGAAACTGCCCTTTGACTGGAGAAACTTTAATTGTATTTTGTTAGTCTTATGAATTTTCAGTTTATTTTAAAGTTTCAGTTTTAGTGTATTTTTTTTAATTTTTAGACTGAAACATCAGATTGCTATGAAGAGGACTTATTTGAAGACATACAAGATAATCGTTATTTGGTGGTTCCACCTCTGAAAAGGGGATTGAAAGTTAGTGTCAATGTTTGCTTTTTGCTTCTGCTTTTTTGGATGTGTTATTCTAAGTGAAGGAAAGAACATTGAAAGAAAGATCCTTAACGTATAAGCAACTCTGTGATTGGGAAGAAATGGTATTTTAAAGGATCTTTACCTTTTCAGTAGCTCTGTAAAAATTATTATGAAATTACTTATAAATGTATCATCTAAAAATGATACCTTGTTATAGTAAGTGTGTGTAAATTTAATAAATCTTGTAAGATAAAATATAAATAGCTCACTTTTGAAAACACGTTCTTTCTGGTCTTTAGGATCAGTATACCACAGTATCTCTTTTCAAAGAGCAGCAAATATGATGACTCATGCCGTGTTCCAAACATGAACAGTTTACCCTTAGTTTTCCGTACGAAGCTCTCTAAAAAAGAGTTTTTGTTTTTTCCCAAATGTATGAAGATAATGCATGTTCCCTGTAAAATATTCAGACCATGCAAAGAAATAATAAAAAGAAACTAACAATTACGTGATTCCGTTACTGAGATATAATCAATTTTAGCACTTTGGCATGTATATTCTTGTAGATTTTTTAATAAATATATGCAAATTTACATGGAAATGTGATTATAAGATTCATGGTCTTTTATAAACTGCCTTTTTTCATTCATAAAAATTTTCAAATATACAGAAGACTTCAATGAATAGTACAATGATTATCTTTGTAGTCCCCACGTTGATTCAACTATTGTTTCTTTTTTAAAAGTCATATTTGCCTCATCTGTTTGCGCTTGTGCGTATGTACGAGTATGTGTGCATTTTTGCAGACGAAAGTTGCAAATATTACAATACTTCACGCCTTTATGTTTTAGCAGGAATCCCCTAAAAATAAGGACGTTCTCCTATGTAACCACAATACCATTTTCACTTAGAAAATTAATAATGACCTCTTAATCCTATTTACTATTCAGACTATATTCAGATGTCTTCAGTTGCCACAAAGATGCTTTCTTCTTTTTTTGTGTGTATGAAGATGATTGTCCCTGAGCTAACATCTGCTGCCAATCCTCCTCTTTTTGATTGAGGAAGATTGTCACTGAGCCAACATCTGTGCCAATCTTCCTCTATTTTGTATGTGGGCCGCTACCTCACAGCTTGATGAGCGGTGTGCAGGTCCGTGCCCTGGATCCAAACCTGTGAAACCTGGGCTGCCAAAGGGGAGTGTGTGAGCTCAACCACCATGCCACCAGGCTGCCCCGACAAAGATGTTTTCTATAGCTGTTTTTTTCAGGATCAAATTGAAATTTATACTTGTACTTCATTATTATATGTCTCATTTTATCTAGAATAATGCCCTCTCTCCTCTTTTTTTTAAAGGACACTAATGAAGAGGTCAGGCCAGTTGTCACCTTTCAGATTTGTCTGTTTCCTTGTGTTGTCATTTAACTTTTTCCTCTATCCTTGGCAAACTTTTTTTTTTATAAAGGGCCAGATCATAATATTTGTACTCTGCAGGCTGTTTTAAAAATTTTTGCAACTATTTTAATTATTAAAGTGAGTTCACTAAATGCTTATTAAACACAAATAGTAATGTGAACAGTAGATAAATAAAACATCATAGTGGACATAGAACCATAAATGGAAAGATCAATTACATTAAAAACTTTTGTGCTCTGAACAAAGCAAAATAAATGACCAACTCTGTAAAAAGAAATTGTAACATATGACAAAGGAATTGACTTCCTTAATATAAATATGCATTCTCAAACAGTAATCTTGAGGATGTAAAGTGGCCCAGCCTCCTCAGAAGGAAACTTCTTATAGCTATTAAAATGTGAATCAAATATATCTTTTTACTCTCACAGTTTTACTTCTAGAAATCTATTCTAAGGATGTACTTGTACATGTAAGCAAAGGTGATTTTACAGGAATGTTTATGTAGTATTTATAAACAACAAAATTCAGTCAAAATCTAAATATCCATACTTAAGAGTATGGTGAATAAATTATGATATACCTGAACCATGGAATACCATGCAGCTGTCAAAAAGAATAAGGTAGATCTTTATACTGATTTAGAAATGATGCTGAAATAATTTAATTTATGAAAACATGACTTTCAGAAATTCCACTTCTGGTAATAAGTCACTCAATTTATTTGGACCAACTGTCCTGATAAAAACAACTTAAAATGATAGTTGAAATATGTTTTTAAAAGCCTCAAAAAGCTGAAAATATAAGAATAAATTATCGAGTTAAACTTTAAAGGCTGGAACCCAGAGAGAGAAACAGAGCACTGATGCTGCTTTTGCCCTGGGAGCATTTGTATTTAGCCTAAAGCAGTAGTGCCCTAGGCACCTGGCAGAAACAAATGTAGAATCCTCTCTCGAAAAACAGATTTATTCTAGGCCGCTTATAAATCTCACAAGTAACTTTTCAAAGAAAAGGAGCCACCCACAGAATAGCTAAGCACATTCACAGAAAATAACCAAATAGCATTACTATAAACTAAAAATACATTGGAATTAAAAACAAAATAACCTCAACAGATGAGTTGAACAGTTGACTCAAAAAAATATAGAGCAAATAAGCAAACCAGACTATGTTAGAAAAATTATCCAGAAGGTAACACGGAGACAAAGAAGGAAAATATGAAAGAAACATAGAGGGAAGGCAGGGATATATGGAGCTGGGGAATAAGAGAGAGTTGAGTGTCCATTTTGTTTCAAGTATTCACATCTTATTGCTAGCTCTCAATGTGGATAAAAACATTTCCAAGTATTAGAAAGCCTTTTAGAGATTAACAAGTCTACCCTGTCCACCGTTTTACATAGGAGTAAACAAATGAGAGCCAGAAAGATTAAGTGACTTGCAGTGCTAGAAGTAGATTTTGTTTCACTGTTCTTTCTCCTGTGCAATTTGTTTTCCAACCAGTTGTTGGAGGGGAAATGGAAAGACCAGGACCTTTAAGAAACTTGTACACATTTACAGGAATGTTCACAGCAGCATTCTTTGTAATGCCTCACAACTGGATCTAACCCAGAGGTCCATCAGCAGGAGAATGGAGAAATAAACTGGTATAGTCATGCGATGGAGTACTATAGAGTAATGAAAGGTGCAAACTACAGCTACTCACAACAAATGGATGACTCTAAAACCTAGTGTGTACAGAACGATTACATTTATAAAAGGTTCAGAAGCAAAACACACAAAAAACTAAAAGTGCTCTTTAGGAGTTCATACAATGGTGGTAAAATTATGAAAACAAACAAGGAAGTTATCTTAAAAGGCCAGGGTAGTGTTGCCTCCAGTGGAGAAAGAGAGGGTCATGATTGGGGAGTGCCCACGGGCTGCTCCCGGAGTGCTACTTTTTGACTTGGGTGTGGTTACATGGTTGTTGACTTCATTATTAGTCTGTAAACTGTTTTTTTTATAATGCATTCTTCTGCATGTATGAGAGAAAAAGAACAAAAAAGCAAGGTTTCATGTCACGCAGTGCAGTATGCTCTTGTATTTGATTTCGGATGGGTTTTGTTTCTTTGTGGGGAGGAGAAAGAAAGCATTTCTTAACATATACATGGAAAAGTTCTGGAAAAGTAAACACTCTTGGCTGTGCAAATGGGATTGGTGGTCTAGGAAGGTAAGGTGAGATATATTTTTATGTTGTTTAAAATTTTTGCCATGTGCTTATTTTCATAGTTTTATGACAAAACTTCGCAACATAGAAAATATAAGTAGTTTAGTGATTCACCATTTAGTCCTGGAGTTGGGGCCATGTTGAAGAAAGTAGGGAAGAGAGAACATGGAAAATTTCTGAGGGTGCCCTCATTTTTAATCTGCGCACGTAGTCCTCTCTTCCACTCCCTGCCCCTCCAGCAGTCTCAGGTTGACTGTCCACCTCTGATGGGTACATCTCCCTTCCCCCAACTCACAAATAAACTCAGTGAATGAGTAATGGAGTGTGAATGATGGGGAACCCACAGAACTAGGTCAACATAAGGAGTTTAAAAATATTAGCTAGACACTACATACTTTGTGCAGTGAGGTAAGATATAATTCAATCATTACTCTCCAACTTTTATTCATTGATAAAAAGAAAAAGAATTTACCTGTCTTAAAATGTAATTTAAAAGAAAGGAATTAAAAAACAGGATGCATATTGTTTTTTCATGCATATTGTTTTTTCAATCTAGAAAAACATGTTATATTAAAAGCTGGATTAATACTTAAACAGTCTCAGATATCCATCTGAAATGAAACAGCTTCTATCAGTTCAATGCAACTCTTTAAATTTTCAGTAGCAAAATGTATTTCATGAACGTTTCATCCTTAGTGCTGAAATCTTATTTATCTGATGTAATAGAAGGAACAGATTGCTCTATCCCCACTTCAGAGCCAGATTTTTTTTTTCCAGTAGTTAAGAGTTGACCCTAGCACTGAATTTATTAGCACAAAAATAAACTTGTGACAGTTTGGAGGCTGTTAACTGTATTATCTTTAAAATTTTGCCATAAAGGTGTATGAATCAAAGATGTCAAACTATCAAATTGAAAGTGACCGTTTCGGGCCAGCCTGGTGACGCAGCAGTTAAGTTCTCACATTCTGCTTTGGCGGCCCGGGGTTCGCCGGTTCGGATCCCAGTGTGGGCATAGCACCTCTTGGCAAGCCATACTGTGGTAGACGTGCCACACATAAAGTAGAGGAAGATGGGCAAGGATGTTAGCTCAGGGCCAGTCTTCCTCAGCAAAAAGAGGAGGATTGGCAGGAGATGTTAGCTCAGGGCTAATCCTCCTCCTCAAAAAAGTGACCATTTCTATTCATAATGATGCCTTTTGCTTTTTGAAGCAGAAATTATTTCAACAACAAGAAAAACAGGTTTCTTGTAGGGGCAGGAGTGTTGGTAGGCCTTGATTTTTTTTTTCTTTTTTGGAAGATTAGCCCTGAGCTAATATCCACTGCTAATCCTCCACTTTTCGCTAAGGAAGATTGGCCCTGAGCTAACATCCATGCCTATCTTCCTCTACTTTATATGTGGGACGCCTGCCACAGCATGGCTTGACAAGCAGTGTGTAGGTCTGCACCTAGGATCCAAGTTGGTGAAGCCTGGGCCACTGAAGCAGAACATGCAAGCTTACTGCACTGTAGGGCAAGCCCCTGGCCTTGATTTTTATTCATATTGATTGATTACCTAACTCAGTGATGAAACGGATACTAATACATTGGCGTTCTCTCAGTTTGATATGTAAACTCTTGCAGTTACTTGCTGTGTTATTTTCCTTTGTAATTAGAGACTTAAAATGTATAAATAAAGTAGTTTTGCTCTGAGAAATATTCTCTGCTTTTCTATAGAGAAATGAATTAATAAGCAAATTTGGAGAAAGTTCTTCCTGAATTAATGGTATGTCAGGTTTCATTTGAAATTATGTCCCTGACAATGATTTTTCTTTCTACTTTACAGGTTGGTTTCATTTCTATTCAGGAATTACAGCGGCATCTCTTGCTTAAGGAAAAAATGATTTCAAAATCTTACAAAGCTTTAATAAACCTGGTTCAAGGGAAAGATGATAGTACATCAAGTGCAGAGGAGGTAAAATTAGTTGTGACCATTTTATCATTTTATGAGTTGAAAATCTACAAGCTATTGAAGAGTTATTTAAATTGGAGTATTGGAATATGTTAGAAAATGCTCAATGGATCAAGCAAAGTGGCAGAGATTATAATGGTGGGCTTTTATGACATTGAAAAATATTTGATTCAGAAGCCAATATTTTACCAATTTGCAAATTATTCTGTAGGATATTAAAATCTCAGTTATCAGGAACCTTGGGGAGTAAGTCCTTTTGTTTAACAAAGATTTAACTGTTAAACTTTTTTATTTGTATAGTTTGAATAGAAATTACTCCTAAGTGAATTATATATTTTCTAATTTCTTAAACAGAATATACTAAGCGTTATTTAACCTTGTATTGGTGATTACATGACTTCATCATTAATATAATAATTGTTCTTTTAGTCTGTTGCATGGTTCATTTCTAAGGATATTTGTTCTTCTAGTTAATGTCCCTGAATTGCTATGCTTTTTTAGTCCTTATATCTGCTTTTTATAATTTTACTCTCGTTTTCCTTGTGGTTGACCATCATAAGATCCTCTTCAGGTACCCTGCAGTTACCCATGCCAGTATGGTAATGTAGGAAGTTAGCAAAAGCTGCTTTGACTTCATAGAAAATAGTATTTATGCACATTAGTTCCACATAGAGAAAGCATAGCAAAATTACAAATAAATCGAGAAAAGCTAGACATAGAGAAACTTGATGTTGCATTTTATTCCCTGATGTCACTTTAGTGCCTAGCTCCGACTTTCTTTAAGATTGACCATTCTTGTAATGGTCCATGCCTTGTGTCTGTAATTCAGTCTTATCAATATGAGGATTTTGGTCCAAAATAGGATTCCATTGACGTAACAAACATAACAAAAGCACATCATGTTGTGTTTCTGTATTACTCTTCTGATCTGGGAAACCTCATGAAAGTCATTGTTAAAAGTCTCACCGTTTCCCTTTTCCACCTCACCCCAACGATTTTGCCAGTATTAGAAAAGGGGAAGAACTGTTCAGAAATTAATGCATTGAAACCACTTTGTATAAGGCACCGTTTTTGGCACTTTATATGGTTAATTTTAAAAGTAATCCTGGCAAGTAGTCAAAATGTCCACAGGTTTCAGATAAATAGCCTGCCTCAAATCTCACAGCTACTGGCAGAAACATCAGATTCCTAGAAACATGTTTAGTCCACTATAATATAAGTGCCCATGTCTTTTTTCAGTAATTACCACAAAGAAGGCCAGTATAGAGTAATGATTAAGATAGAGCATGGGCTCTGGAACCAGTCTGCTTTGGTTCACATCCTAGCTCTGCCACTTGCTAGCTGTGTGACCTTCGGAAAGGTACTTAACCTCCCTGTGCCTCGTTTTCCTTATCTGGAAAATGTAGATGATCATCTTACTGACCTAGGATACTAGGGTTATTCTGAAAGGTAAACAAATTGATACATGAATGGCATTTAGAATAGGGCCTGACATACAGTAAGCATTCAATAAGTGTTGTATATTATTACCATTACTCCTCCTCCACTTACTATTGCTACTACTGTTTCTATTGTTATTCTAAATCCGTATGTGTGTGGAAATGAGTGAATATGGCCTCAATTTTAAGAATAAAATTTTAGCAATAATCGATCAGCAGTCCAAAGATAGTTTAATCAGTGTTATTCGTATAAAAGTTTACAGTTATAGGTTTAAAACAAGTGATAAAATAAAGATTGGATTGTTTTCAGCATGCCTGGGGCGCATATTGTCAGATTATTTTTCAAAATCGATTCCAGGTTTATACCCCTGCTGGCTTTGTGTGTGATACCCCATCTTGTTTCCAGTCAGGGCGTGCTGCTTGATCTGAGTAGATAGTTATATATGTTTTATAAATTTTATTTTAGTGAAATATGTATAACCTATAATTTAATATATTATAAATGATAATTTGTTTTGAAACATGTAAGCCATAAGGCCTGGCCAATAGCTGATTCACATTTTACTACATTTATTAGTTTTTTTGTAATCAGTTATTTAAACATGTTTTTCTACAAGGAATGTCTTTTTACTCTTTGTGGTGAAGAAGAAAATCCTGTCCATACCTTTGATGAAAAGTTATCAGACAATTTTCAAGATTCAGAACAGCTAGTAGAGAAGATATGGTATCGTGTAGTAGATGATAGCTTGGTTGTTGGAGTGAAAATCACATCTTCTTTGAAGTTGTAAGTAAATCTTAATATAACATTATCTGCATGCTCAAGAACAGCACTGTCCAAGGGAATTACGATGCAAGCCACATATGTAATTTTAAATGTTCTATAACCATATTAAAAGATGTAAATAGAAACAGGTGAAATTAATTTTAATAATATTATATCCAAAACATTATCATTGCTGAGGGACAAACAATATTCTGTATTAAAAAGCAGATTTTATTCAAGTCATTTAGGGGAGTATAAAGTACAGTTTTTGCTTTAGAGGTATTTGCATTCTAAATTATTGCCAAAATAAACTCTTTGAAAAAATAAGTAGTATTTTTCTTGTTTAAAAAGAAGGGGTGAAAGTAATTTACCTTAAAAATAAAATCCAGGCATTATTTTACCATTCCTTTCTGTTAAAATATTACTTTCTTAAAGTCCAGCATATTTACATTGTTTTTGCTTTCCTATTTCAAGAGAAGTGCTTTTACAGGATCTGTAAAAATGTATTTAGCTTTTACACTTAATTTTCTGATACATTTTGCATTTGAAATGATGTTTCCTAGGAAAAGAGAGAATAAAATTTTGTTGTTGTTTGCATGGCATTTAATCATCTATTTGATTTTAAATAATGAACCTTTAGAGTAAACCGAACTCTGGATTTCTTACAGGTCCCTGGATCAGGTGACTTTATCGCTGTTGATGGATCAAGCCCATAGCTCCAGCATTCAGCTTATTAAGTGTCAAAATAGGGTGATCAAGTTGAGTAGGGATTCTTTCCCAGCACCATGCTCAGAGCCATATGAAAGAGGATCAGAGGCAAAAAGGATCAAGTTGACTGTTGATAGTGAGGAAGAGAAAAGCTTTGTTTGCGAACAACCATCTGAGAAAGAGTGTGTACAGATAATTACTGCTGTAACATCTCTTTCACCACTGTTAGCATTCAATAATTTTTGTTGTATTCTGCTGCTACAAATTAGGAAGAGAGAAAATGGTAACTATTTTGAAGATCATTATATTCAGTGTGGTAGACTTTTTATAAGTCTAGAAGATCTTTCAAGTGGGAAATACCTAGTGAAATTTCCAAAGAAGAAAACCATCGGTAATTTTTGTTGGTACTATTTAATCATATACCTAATTGAGTCAGCAAATTTTAAGAACTCTCTTTTTTTGATAATGGACAGAGTTTAATGACAGAGCTTGTGACATCTTTTTCTTGTAGAACACGTGGAAGATCTCTGTGCACTTCTTGCAGCATTGTACAAAACTTGTTTTCAAATCACATCACCCAACTGTGCTCTGACTTCAATGAAGACGTGGCTCTTAGAACTTATGAAATGTGAAGTAATCAAAGAATTTCCAGAAATTTGCTTTTGTAAAATCCCAGGAAGTTTCTATGGGACACTCTTCAGTTGGAAACAAAGAACACCATTTGAAGGGATTTTAGTAGTCTATTCCAGGTAATGCACATCAAATTGGAATTAGTCCACAGAAGTTAGGGTGTATGGATGTGGTGAATAGGCGGTCCAACAACAGTCCCTACGGTAGAGTTTTGTGCCATTGTGGGACATGTTTGAGTCGTTGCTTCCTACAGCATGAATGGAAAGGTGGCCTCATTTAGAAACTGAAGTGTTTAAATTTTGTGTGTGTTTTTGGCTTTTTTCTTTTAGGGTCTAATAATTATTTTAAGATTTCCCCTTCTCCCTCACAGTGAAATTTTAAAAATATGATATTGATCTTATTACTCAGAGAAAAAATTTAATCAGGAAGTAACCTGATTAATATTAACTGACTTAGTGTAGTATATGTATATTTGATTGTTACAGTCCGAATTATATGAATGATCACATGCATGCATTATTGGTTCTATTCATTACTAGAATGTTTATAAATGAATATTGATTGCTACAATATGTGGTACACGACCACTTGTGCTGACCTGAGTTTTGTAATATTGTGTTTGGTTTTTTTGTTCCAGGAATCAAACAGTTTTGTTCCAGTGCCTTCATAATCTCATCAGAGTTCTCCCTATAAACTGTTTCTTCAAAAATCTAAAATTAGGAAGTGAGGATTTCCTAATTGATCAATTGGCATTAACTTTGGAGAAGGAATTGGTTACCCTTGGTTCTCTTTCTTCTGCCTTAGTTAAAGTTGAAAACAACTTGGTGCAGAGGTGTGAAGAAAACAAAGAAAAGAGTAGTGGTGTTGTGGCTACTTTATCAGACAGAGAGGACATCATCCATCTGTACAGAAAAGAACTTCAGAGAGAAAAGAAGCAAACACTGGAGATGAACCTAAAAGTGAGTGGTGCCCCTTATAGAGAAATAACTTTGAAATTAGCTGAGATTCAGCAGAAATCAGACCTTGCTGCACAGAAACTGAGTGGTTTATAGTTACAATCTCAATTTGATTATATTTTAAAATATGTTTTCCCTGCCAGGATGTTTTGGTTCCACTTGTTTTCTTTTTTTTTTTTTTTTTTTAAAGATTTTATTTTTTCCTTTTTCTCCCCAAAGCCCCCTGGTACATAGTTGTGTATTCTTCGTTGTGGGTTCTTCTAGTTGTGGCATGTGGGACGCTGCCTCAGCGTGGTCTGATGAGCAGTGCCATGTCCGCGCCCAGGATTCGAACTAACGAAACACTGGGCCGCCTGCAGCGGAGCACGCGAACTTAACCACTCGGCCACGGGGCCAGCCCCCACTTGTTTTCATTTTACATTATATGCCTCCTTTGTAAAAAGTAAAGATTGAGGCTTGTTGTAGAATCTTTGGTTTTGATGATGCACAAAATAGCATGCTTTAGCATGCAGTTCTCAACTGGGGCCATTTTCCTTCTCACCTCCCCCGCTCCCCCCACCCCGAGGTATTTGGCTATGTCTGGAGACATCTTTGGTTGTCAGAAGTACTGGGGGTTGGGAAGAATGAGGCAGGGGTGCTCTTCGCATCTAGTGGGTAGAGGCCAGGGATGCTGCTAAACATCCTACTTTGCACAGGACAGCCCCACAACAAAGAATGATCTAGCCCAAAATGTCAGTAACGCTGAGTTGAGAAATCCTGCCATAACAATATTTTGGTCTAAATCTTCAAAAAACTTAAATAGTCCTTTTACCGTATTCTGCTTAGTAAAACCTAGCATATAAAAATTGGCTTCAAACAGATAAACAAGATTGTCAGGATTCACAAGTTTCTGTAAACATCAAGCTCCTGTGGAAAGTTAAACAGTGGAGTGTCTTGGTGAGACAATTAAAATGAAAGTGTTTGGAACCCTTGTTAATTTAAGTTTTATTAGAAAGCTTCTCTGAAATTTTCTAAGTGTATAGGAATGTGAAAATTTTAGGGCATTTCTCTGAAAAGCATATCTCTTTCAAAAAGTTAAGCATACCTCACTGGCTGCTATTTAAAACAAATTGAAAATGCCTTTAAGCCATCTGAAATTCCAACTATGGGCAAAGCTAAAATATAAAATTCTAACTAAAGTAAAGAATATGGTGCTCCTCAGGGACTGAGAAATTTTAAAACAAGTGAAAATTCACTTCAGTTAAGAAGTGATTTTTAAGGGGTCCAATGAGACAGTTCAAAGGGATAAAAATTCAACTTCTTTTTTTTTTTAAATAAGAATTCTGGAGTAATAAGAGAATGTCAGGAGAGGGAAAGAAGACACAAAAGGATATGGGCCAAAAGGAATGTTTCTGATCCGTTTTGCTCTAAAATCCTTAAGTGAGATGGACATTTCCACCTCAGCTGAAAGAAAGAAAGATGATTATAGAAAGTGGCATTTCATGCTTGCAGCTATGAAGTGCTGATTCCTCCCATGCCTTAGAAGTGCTTGTACCTAATGATCTGGTGATGCAAATGGGTTTTAGACAATGTAGATTATTATTTTCTTGTCTTGGTTTTTATGATTGTCCATATAATATGCTAACTCTTTTTTTGGTAGTCCATTGGAAATTGAGATAGAACTCGACAGCTCTATTTCTATGAAATGTCAATGGAAAATATTTCAGACTTTCTGGAAATGGAATAATTTTAGGATTAATTATGGAAATCTGGAAGCAGTGGGTGTCAATAGATATTGAAACTGCCCATGTCATGTTATGAAAGAACAATCAAGTATAAAATACAGGAACTAAATTGTAAAATGGAGGCTGTCAAAAAAGCTAAACAGAATTTAATCATAATAGTTTATTTGTAGGAAAGTTAGGATAATAAAAAATAGCATGTTGCTTATTTTTTATTTATGAAAGCAACCAAAAGATAATTAATCTACATATACCAAACAACTTCTTTACAAGTGAGTTTGGTATTCCAGTATATCTTTTCTACTTACGACAAACTAGAAAAGCCAAAGTTTGAGGAAATGATACCTTCATCCCTCTCTCATGTTTCAGTGTCTGTTTGCCTCTGTAAGCATATTCCTCTGACCACCATCCTCATCAGGAATCTGAGGCTCCCCTCAAAAACGTAGTCCGCCCAAATCCATGTTGCTGAAGTGAAAACAAGTTTTATTTTGGAACAGAACACTACACAGTTTTCAGACACAAAACTTTCTGTTAGTCTCCTGATCCCTTAGTTAAGGAATGTGTGCAAGCCAGCTTAGGCATGACATTATTCAGTTCGGTGACCAGGTTGAGGAAAGGGGGAAGAAATGTAATATCTATTGTCTGTCAACTATATGCCAAATAGTAAGCTTGAAACACACGTGTACACATACGCATTCATATCCATATCCATACATATATATGGTGTAATCCTTCACAGCAACCCATGAAGTGTAATTATTAGTGTTGTAATTATTAGTATGGAAAAAAATGTTAAACCAAATTAAGGGGATGCATGCAAGCAACTTGATCCTGTACCCATGTTACAAATTTTTTCAACATGAGCAGACCCTTTAAGAATTCTAGGGGGCCTGCCCCTTGGCTGAGTGGTTAAGTTTGTGTACTCCACTTCGGTGGCCCAGGATTCCACAGTTTGGATCCTGGGCGCGATCATGGCACCACTCATCAAGCTGTGCTGAGGCAGCATCCCACATAACACAATCAGAGGCACTCACAACTAGAATATACACCTATGTACTAGGGGACTTTGGGGAGAAGAAGAACAACAACAAAAAGAAGATTGGCAATAGATGTTAGCTCAGGTGCCAATCTTTAAAAAAAAAAAAGATTCTAATATACAAGTGAATCTTTTATTGTCCTGATAACATCTCTTTATAGAATTCACTATTCAATTTTTTTCCCAGTCCCAGAAAGGAAAAGATCTGATTAACTTCTCTTCCTGCCTTCCCCAATAAAAGCAAAAAATTCAACTGTCCTGGCTAGAAACCTGTGTAAAGCTGTGATTTCTTTCTTTCTTTCTTGCCTAAAACTTGGACAATATCAGATGTTGAGAAGGAACCTTTCTCTTCCTTGTAGTTAAACTTGTGAGAACATTACTTTCCATTCTAAGAATTTGAAAGTAAAAGCTCTTTCTTGGGTAACCCCATCTGGAGAACTTTAGGCCTTTACTGCTAAAGACAGTATGTTGTGATGGAAAGAATGCTGATCCACTGATCCAAACAGTATACTTAATTGAATCCTTCAAGGGTTTGTTCTGTTTTCTCTTTTTGAGTTTCCTGGATCTGTTAACTTGAATTGCCTACTGCCTCAGCGAAATAGCCTTATCCTCTGAAATCCTACTGTGTTGAGTATCTTCACAGTGCAAATGGTCTAGCCACTTTCTAGGGCCTTATTCCAATAATCTTGTCTTACCTTTTTATTCAGTAGGGTAGCAGGCACTGTTCAGGTAGTGAATGTTCATAAGGGCAGAAAATCAGACACCTACCGTGCACCTGCTGTTCAAATTTTTCCTGTGCTACACTTGTGAGCAGCTACACTGGACAAAAGTACCTGTGTGAGTAACTGTAGGTCAACTAATGGTCCTGAGTTTGGCTTGGAAATTTCTTTAGCATTTTTAACTTCATCTTTAATTATCCATTTTCCCCCACAGCAGCAGTCACTTACCCAAAAGTATAAGTGGTGTTATGGGTCAGTAAAGCATACCATTAGTAATCAGCCAAAGCATTTAGCACCAGATACCAAGTCAGTCAGGAGTGGGAGAGAAGTGTGATGCACTCTATTGATTGCCTGTTCCACATCGATTTCTTCCTTTTCTTGTATCAGAACTCTCATTTTGTGTGAGAAACTTCCTTTCCCATAGTTCATGTGATTGGGCAAGTGGACCCCATCCCCAGTTCCAGAGGTTAGTCCTGACTAGTCTAAGCCAGTTATTGCCAGACATTTCCCTGGCGACTGTTACTGGTCTGGGATGGGCACAAGAACTAAATTGGGCCTAATCAGACTGAGGGGAAGGACTTGGTTCTTTGGCAAGGAAGAGGCTCTCTTCCTGTCCTGCTCGCAGTAGGCGCCCCTAATTTAAAAAATTATGAGTTATCTTATAATCATGGGAAGTAAGGCTTTAGAATGGATCTGACATTATAGACTGCAAAATTGTTTTATTGTGCCACTGAATCAAACCTAAATGACGCCCTTTTCCAGAACTATTACTTCAGAAAAAAAATTCCTTGTAACAGAAATCAAAGTTTCTATTACTTGCAGCTGAAATCATTTCTCATTGCTAGAAATGGGGAAAAGAATCCCAGAGAACAAAGCTGACTCTTGAACATGTGTCCAGGACAGGAAGGTTGCTACAGCTTGTATCTGCTAAAAGAAGAGTAGGAAAGAGCCACCCACCCCTTGCCCCCACACACACCTTTAATTTCTGGACAGTAGCTCACTAGGCTTCCTTTCTGGTGGTGGTGCTGGTGGTTGTTGTCTTCCCATTTACAACTTAAATTAGTTCATACCTGATAGTAGTTTATATCTGAGATAAGCTTTAATTTTTTAAAATTATTTATCTTTTCTCAATTTCTTATCTTCCCTCTGGTATTACCCCGCCACTTGTTTAATTATGCCTTCGTCATTGGGTTAGAGGTATATGTCAGGTTATTTAACCAATATCTCCATATTTCCTGTTTTAGAATATAAAATTATAAATGTAAGGACCATATCATGTTTCTTAGATATCAGAAGAATTCAGACTACTGTTCTCATATCCTCAGCTATACCCTCTCCAATAGGAAGAGAAAGATCTTTATCAATTTTGATTGTTCTAGGAAAAACAGATTTGATATTATGGGACTGTCATGGAAATAGAGTAGTACTCCTATGTAAAGAGATGCACAACATTATTAATTTAGAGTTTGTAGCCTTTTCAAATCTAATAAATATGTGCTAGAACATGAGTGGTTGCCTTCTACGATA